GTAGGAACGTCTTGGACTGTCTTCATTACATCCACTGGGGATCTATCTTCCTCCTCAATCACTGTAGTTAAGTCCAGGACAAACATTTCCTCTGCAGGAGAATTTTGCTCGCATTCGTCTGAAGTCCTAGTCTCTGTAATTGTGGCCTCTCCATCTGCTTCTATGCCTTCAATGCCATGCAGAGCCTCTGATTTTTCTCCTCCTATGATATCAAGGACCATATCAGTGAAATCACCCCTCTTATATGGCTTGTTACCTGTTTGGGGGTTCTTGGCTTCAGTAAGGTCTTTCGTTGTCTTGGCCCTAAGGTTCTTCCATCGCAACATAACTTGTTTTATGGTCCTCTTTTGGCCAGACCCCATGGCATTGACATGATTGGTTATGTCCTCCCAAATGTTGTGTTTTCCTTTTTTGGTCACTTCTCCACCCTTTGCAGAGCTGAAACCTCCTACTATTGAGGCAAAACTGGCCCGAACACCCTCCAGCAGTGCACAGGTTTCTGTCACAGTGAAATTAGGCCCTTCTGAGTCCATGGTTCCAGCTCTTTGGTGTAACCAACACTGATCTTAAAAGCCTTGAGCATGATTGCTTTGGCTTGTGCTCAATTAGGCTTACACCAATCAGCTCATTGCTGGTTAATGGGTGACACCATTTAAACACATCATGTCTTTGCACCCATTTCTTTTAGCCTACAGAGACATCCACATGGCGGCTATTGTTCATCGTTACCATAGGAGAAGGTACCGTCAAAGGGTGCATGCTGAGCGTGCCAAACCACTCGAGCAATACACATCAGAAGAGCTGTATGCACGTTTTTGCTTTGGGAGAGATGACATTAAGTACATTGCAGATCTTGTCAGGCCAACACTCCAACACCAAACCCAAAGGAGTCATGCTTTATCTGTGGAGGAACAGTGCTTAATCACTCTGTGCTTTTACGCATGTGGGACTTTCTACCAAGTAATTGGTGACAATATGGGAGTGAGAAAAGCAACCGTGAGTAATGTGGTGAAGGCTATGTCAGTAGCACTGGGCAGTCTGATCAATCAATTTGTTTCCTTTCCCAAGGATGACCAGACAGCTCAGACTAAGCACAAGCTTTTTCAAATGGGGAACATGCCTAGCACTATTGGTGCTATTGATTGTACTCGTGCATATCCAAGCACCTTGTGAAAGGGAGTGGGAGTATGTCAATCGAAAGGGGAGGCACAGCATCAACATCCAACTTGTGGGCAACGCCGACCTCATAATAACCAACTGTGTTGTGAAATGGCCAGGGTCTGGTCATGATGCACGTATTCTAAGAGAAAGTGCACTATACAGAGAGCTTCAATCCCACCGACCAAATGGCATGGTATTGGGAGACAGCGCGTATCCACTCCTGGCTAATAACCCTGAGCAGGCACGCTTCAACTCCTCACATTGCAAAACAAGATGTGCCATTGAACGCTTAAATGGAGTCCTGAAGAGACGGTTTGCGTGTCTTAACTACTTGCGAGTACAACCCAAGGTGGCATGCAACATAATCCTTGCCTGTATTGTTTTGCATAACATCGCCACCAGGCGTCATGTCCCTCTTGATGACAATTTTGATGGACCTGAGCCTGATGTAGAACCAGAACAGCCGCCAATGTTCTTACCTAATGAAGGACACACTGGACATGCAATTAGAGATGCAATTGTGAGAAATTACTTTTAACTAGGCTACTGAATGACTGAGTATATTTGTTGTTGTCATTGCCATTAATATACTGTGGAATTATAGAGCTGTGAGCAGCAGTGACATATATTTGACAGCTGATATCTTTGAGATTTTTTTTTGTTTGTTTGTTTGTTTTTGTTGTTTACCATATCTCATCAGATGTGACATGCTTCATATATGCTTCAAATATGAAGAAATGTATATATCATCAGTAAACATTGATTTTGTGATCATTCACTTAAAAAACAAAAACTCTCTGATTTTATTTGGTTCGAAAAATAACAACTGAATCCACCCTTCTGATGGGATCAGGATAATCCTGTTTTTTTGGATCAAATAGATCCCAAACCGAGTTCAAAGTTTTGAATAACCCAAAGGGCAGGTTTGATCCAGATCAAATGTAAGATCGGATTACATGCTCTGATCTTAGTTTGGAATCCCTCTTTTGCTTTTGAAAAACCCATTTCCAAGATTTGATCCAACCCGTGATCCGAAATCCCACTGGATTACTTTTGAACAACTGGGCCCAGGTGATAAAATGTAATGTACTGAAGCGAATACTGTAACATTCAAGTAGATGAAAGCATGAAACTTGGTACACTTGTGCAGTTTGGGGCCCTGAACATTTTCAGAAATGGAGCCATCGCAAAAACGCCTTGTGATCGCAATGGTGGCCCTTTTACTTTCTGCCATTACCAAATTATGTATTTTGTATCTCCTGAACCAAACATAACACAGAAAAGGTGACGTCTACGCCTATGTTTTTATGGTCAAGTATTACAATGATACCATATACACTCTAAAAAATACTGTTTGGACGCAACAAAAAAAATTAACGCAACAATTTGCATAATTTTTTTTGAGTTAAGGCAATTTCTTCTGAAATTAAGTTCAACTAATAAACTATATTGTGCTATATATACTTAGAAAATTGTGTTAAAACTAACAACTATCAAGTTCAACACTCATAAAAACTAAGTTGTTTGAAGTAGTTTTTTCACATTGTTTTAAATTTGGTTCAGTTATGGGCACTGGTTACAAACACTACTAAAATATTATTTTTTTATGAAACAACACTTAATGACACTAGAAAACCAATCTTTTAGCATTTTCAACCAAATACCTTCTGATTGAAACAGCATAGAAAATAATGTCTAGTGAGTCTGTTCTCAACCTAAGCAAACGCTCTACTCTTCAGCACAATGGTAATCTCATAAAAACCACCAACATAACAGAAACACTTTTAAATACTAATATAACCGAACACTGAACATTAATAAATCTTCTCCTGTTCTGATCTTGAATAGAAATGCATAAAATATGAGTTTATTTCTACATTACCGCTCATTATTCAGTCACATGCAAAGCATGCTGGGAACCTGAAACGTGAACTTGAAAAAATGAAGTTATGGAGCTAATTACATTGAGTTAGTACAACTTAAATAATGTTTTAAACAAACTAACACAGATATTTAAGTTGAAGTTACACACAGTATTACGTTGATGTAATTATCAACATTAAGATATCAGGACAACTCATTAAAAAAGTTTAAAACTTAAAATGTTTAATTAAATCAATAAATTGGAATTTTTAACTTACACTAATGCATTAAATTAAGTAGTGGCAACAGATCCACTGAATTATTTTTTAGACTGTAGTTAATGGGGACTTCAGTGACGTTGTGAGAAGAATTACAATGAAATCGCAATATCTGAGAAGATGCAGAATGAAATTTCAAGCATATTTCCTGTAAACTTAATTTACACTCACTCTCTGAGGCCAGAGTTGTCTATTATGTTAGTGTCCACAAGGGGGAAACATTTATTTCAGTTGATATTCTCTTGATGAACTGTCACTCTGTCACCTTGGTAGCAGTCAACACTCTGCCTGACTCTACATTTATTCATTTATCAGACACTTTTATCCAAAGCAACTTACAATCGAGGAAAACAACATGCAATTCATCATAAAGAGGCAAATAAACACAGGAAATGCTCGGAACACAAAGTTTTAGACATTGTTCAGATTAGTACAGTATAGAGGGATTAAGGAAAGTGAAGGTTCTTTTTATTAAATTAAGATGCAGTCAAATGCAGATGCAGTGTTGACTAAAGAGAGATTAGTTTTTCAGCGGTCTCTTGAAAATGGTCATGGTGGAAAGATTGTTCCACCAGCCAAGAATGGTGAGCGAAAATGTTCTGCCTCTCTGTGATGGTAACACGAGGTGTCGCTCACTTACAGATCTCAGGCTTCTGGAGGGGATGTAGATTCGTAAGAGTGAGTGGAAGTAGGCGAGTGCTGAGCCTGTGGCTGTTCTTTATGCAAGCCTCAATGTCTTGAACTTGATGCGAGCCGTAACCGGTAGATAAAGAGAGATGTGACGTGGGCCCTATTGGGCTCGTTGAAGATTAGACGTGCTGCTGCACACAAACATTAAAAGCCTTTTACTGGATTCAGTGCATCTTGAACTTGTATTTTTTGTCTCTCATTTTCAGGACTTACCTTTGAAGGGGGCCACTGTCCTGCAGAGTTTTGTGTGTTCAGCAGCTGTCCTTCCATCATCACTTTTGGTAGGTATTAACCACTTCATACTAGGAATACCCCATAAGACTTGCTGTTTTAGAGATGCTCTGACCCAGTCATCTAACCAACACTATTTGGCCCTTATCAAAGTCACTTAGATATTTTAGCTTGCCCATATTTCCTTCTTCCAACACATCAAAAAATAAATAAAATACAGAGAACTAAACGGAGTTGGATGATGACATCACTGTTTTCTACAGGGCTGCTGCTTTACAGCTGAATTGATCTCTGCTTGCATCTTTGAATCATTTCCCCCCTTTATCCCTGTAATGCTATTTTGAAACAATCTGTACAATCGTATTCAAAGCACTATATACATAAAGGTGACTTGACAGGGAGAAAGGCACGTTTATTTATTTAGTTTTGTTTATTTGGATATGCCCATCTCTGAAGTTCCAGTTTTGTGGCAATGTTAAAAAAAGTGAACAAGACAACATAAATTTGAACACATACACCTTAATTACCAGACCAAAAGCCTCATAAGGTGCCAAAATATGGCCTGCCATCTTTTCAGTTAAGTCTTCATCTTCATCAGTTAAGAAATTATAGGCCTATGTAATGTTGGATAACAATCAGTCTTTTGAAAGTCATTTCAAGGGTTTGCAGAACAGCATTCTTCCACCTTAGAAATATTTTTAAGTTACAGTGTACAGTGAGTATAGAAAAGAATCAGCCCCCTTTAAAATACTCACATTTTGCTTTGCAGCTTGAAATGAAGACGGACACAGTTTTGGTTTTATCCAGCTGTATTTACAGTGCTACTTATAACATCCCAGTCAAAGATATAACAGCAACATGTCAGGAAACCCAAGGCCTCTGCTCTAGGACATAGGGATGGATGCTCACTTCTGACTGGAGAGTAAACTATCAGATTTATTAAGCAGTTAAATGTTTATATCAAAAAGGAGCTCTAAGGTAAAGCTGTGATGGATTGATATTTTTAAGTAGTTGCAAGAGGCTTGAATAGTACATTCTACTTTAAGCTGATTTTATTAACTGAAAGATTAGACAATTAAATGGATCATTACTTGCAAGTCAAATCAAAATTAGAAAGACTAATCTTTATATCTCATTTGTTCAGTAGTTGCTTCCCTCAAAAGAAGGGAAGTTTCCCTAACAGCTATGCAGTGAGAATGCTAGATGAGGTAACTAAGTAGTGAGCATCAGTGTCACAGCAATAAATATCCATTCTGAGGGCTAATGGTCACTTTCAGTGTGCTACAAAGTAAGATAGGACCAATCCAAGGAAACACAACATCACAGTCGATAGGTTTCTAAAATGACTGAAGGCTGGGGGAAAAAAAAACAGGATGTCATTTTTTAAAAAGTTTTCACAATGTATATGAAAATTACATGATTTTATTAAGTTTATTAAGAACATAAACAATGCAGTGAATATAAATGTTTATTTACCACTGTCTGGATTTTTGCCATCAATCCATGAAGACCCTGATGATCTTGTTGACCCTAAGTAAAATACAAATAAAAACAATGAATGTATATAAATTCATATAAATCTATTGACACTCACTTTATCCAGTTTAGTCACTCATCCTCTCTAAAGAGTTGTTTACTCTAAAAAGTTAAGTGCATAATAAAATCCATAAGTGAGAGAGGAATTATTCTTAACACAACAGAGAGCTCAGAACAGAAAGTATTTACATACTTTTGACGGTTAATAGGCATCATGTTTCATGCTGTGTTTATTAATCTTAATTTATAAATGGTTAAATTGTACTTTTGGATTTTACATTTTTGCAAACTTGAAAAGAGGATAAGCATTTACTGCTTTTATATGAACAAGCACAACTAGGAAATTTAATAAAAAAAAATATATATCCTTTTGTGTTCTAAAAAAGAAAAGGTTATGCCCATTAGAGAAAGACCAGGGTGAGAAAATAATTATTTCAGGTTTTTTTCTTGGTAACCTATCCCTTTAATGTGTTGTTTTGCATTTTGTATAGTTTTATTTATATATTTGTATATTTGAATATTCGCAATACAAAAGTAAATTATTTGTCATTCCAATAAAGTCAATTAAAATTGGTGGAAAAACTCTTATCCAAGTAACGGTAAGATATCAGCATTTATTTTTAAATCAAAGCAAATATGAAAGATAAAATGAACCATAAAGAAAGCAGAATTTCGAGTTCTGGGCAATGACTTTCTGGTGTTGTGCTGACATTTTGACATTCAGCTCAGCTGTATCCCATTTCTGTGGATCATCTTTGAGATGTTTCTGCACTTTGATTTCACATTGAATAAAAGCCTAAATTAAATCTGTTCATCATATAAAGCGATCAATACTTTTCAGAAAATTTGGACTAAACAGCTCAATTCATATGGATTAGTTTCATGATCTCTTTAAGAACTTTTTGAACCATCAAAGTGGTAGTTGCATAGACTGTCAATGGTGAGACAGAAATCTCTCGGATTTCATTTGTGTTCGGAAGATCTTGCAGGTTTGGAACAACATGAGGGTGAGTAAATGATGACAGAATTGTCTTTTTTGCGTGAACTATACACCCTATTTATGGGTGAACTTTGGGTGAACTAACCACCCTGTGCACACTCTTAGACCAATGCACTTATATACACACACACACACACACACACACACACACACACACACACACACACACCTGTACCGAGACAACAGGTGAACTTACTCATAAAGTGTGCAAGGGCTCAAGAATCTGTGAGTGACCGAACAGTGTACGCCTACCTTTAAAGTCACCATGAAATTAAAATTGACATTTTGTATTTTTTATGGAATGATTTATCCATGCACGTAATTATTTGTTTTTTAAAAATGAATGTGCCCTCATAATCTTAAATAAAAAACATTAACTTCCCCTCCCCCTCGCAACAACATCTCTGAGAACAGAGCAAAGAAACATCACTGACAAGCATTTTTATGACGTAATTATTTTTTTTAAGGCACACTACAGCAAAATGGTCAACATTGTTGCACTCCTCTCTGGTTTTGTTGTTTCTTGCGCAATTTCAGCTCTGTTTCCTTCTCACTTTGTTCAATTTGATTTCACTTTGCTCAGAATTTTGAGCAAATCGTCAATGTTTGTCAATGTTCCTGGAAGCTGCAGCTTTTCTCAGAGATTTGTATCTCAATCTGATCAGAATCCTATCTTGGATATATTCATCTTCTGGATTCCCTTACGAATGCCTCCATTGACTCCCCTTACTCCCCTTGCGCATTTGTATATCAAATTCCTTTAAAGGAATGAAGTGCTCATCAAATGTCTGAATCACTACTTCATACCCTTACGAAACGAAAAATCAAATCTGATTTGCCACCAGTGAAGCTTCAGAAAGCAGGATGTCCCATTTCTCTCTAATAGCCAGCATCTCTTCCTTTAGGGCCCCAATGTTTTTTGCCTATACATCCAGTGAAATCTTTCCAGATGGAAGAACTAAATTACGGTCTTCAATGTATTGCAGTACTTTGCACCAAACTGTAAGAAGTACAAAGGCTTCAAAAGACATAAAGTACATTTTAAGACCACTGGCTTGGGATTTAGACTCACTGGTGAGACTGCGACTTAAACGTATGCTCTCAAGGACCTCTATTACAGATAGCAGATGTTCTGCAATTGGTCTGGCAGCATCTATCCGTGCATTCCAATGGGTATCTGACAGCATATGTAAGGAGCAACCAGTCTTCGCTCTCAAAATGGCCCAACATTCAGTGCTAGCCCTGAAAAGGCAGTAAAAGCAGTTTGTTTCCAAAAAATGAGGCTGCCTCTGGATTGGATTCTCATATCTACAAGGTTTAGTGTTTTTTTTTCCCAGTCATTGTTTACTGCATCATGCTTGACGTACCTCAGAAGTAACACATTCTGTTCGGTGTGGGAAAGGTCTGGAGTTGCATCACAAATAACTGAGAAATAAATTGAGTCTTCCCATTCCTTCACGATTGTCTTTAAAACTTTATTCCCACAGACATCAATGAATTCATTTTGAATATCAGAACTCAGGTGATGTGTCACCCTTGTTCCTGTCTTTTTATTTCTAATTTTACCCAAGTGGTCTTTAAAGAGTGGATCATAATGTGTCAAAAGTTCAACTTTGCCAAGGAAATTTCCATTATGCTCATCATCCAGGTTTTTAGTTTTACCACGAAAAGGCAAGTTTTGAGATGCTAAATAGAATTCTAGAACGAATATATTTCTCTGTTTTTCTCCATTTCTGTTTGTAATTGTTGGTCCATCTGCTTATCGATACCACTTCCTGCTAATATCGAGTGCTGTAGATTTTTCCATTTAAAATAGCAAGTTCAGTGGACTTTGCTGCTTTCATGATTTGGAAGCTGTCATACATCCTGTGCCATGATACTTCAGACATCTTGTATCCATCTCTATTGCTTAGAACACTCTGGGAACCACTTTTCAGTTCATTTGAGAAAAGCAAGCATGGAATACAGTAGAAAGCAGTTTTGTGCTTTTGCTGTAAGCAAGTCAATCCCTTCTGAGCTTTTCTCTTCCCTTGGCAGCTTTTGTGAACTGCAAATATTCTGGAAATTGTTTCCCTTGAGAATCTACTGGCATCTCCTTCAACATGTCTGCAAACTTTGTTGCTAACTTTCTGACAATTATCTCCCTTTCGATGTCCATTAATTTGTCTGGCCATAGACCTGTGTCATTAGTTAGGTAATCTGTGTTCTCATCTCCCTCATCACCAAACTTTCTACTCTGCCTCTTTTCTTCAGCTAGACTTTTGTTGTCTTGACTGTACTGCCTACTTCCATCATCAATGTCACTTCTTCCGTCCTTGACCTGATCTTCCTGCCCAGCACTTTTCTCCAATGTGATGGGTCTGGACAAGGCGATATGTTTCGACATACTAATAAAATAAGTCCGTAAATTTTAGACTGTAAATTAAGAGAACTACACCATATTCATTATATATGCAAACATATCTCATGAGCTGTTACACACTGACACCATTTACATGATCAAATTCAAATTAAATAATTTTTATACAACAACTATAAAGCTTGTTTTCTAAAGCTGACCTTTTTCCTCAAATATCTCAGTCACCTCCTCCTTCTCCCCCTGTCTCAGATCTTCTTTAGTTGATGCATGAGTGGTTATCCCTGACACAGTGCTTGTTTCTGACACAGAAGGGATAGTTTATAAGTCAAGGAATAGCTTGTACAAGAACAAGGAAATTATTATTATTATTATTTATTAATATTATTATATGTGAATAATGAGTTCCACACACCAGCAGCTAAATGAAATCAGCTAAAACTGCGACAGGATCAATTAATTGAGTGATTTGACTCAAATCAGTTATATTCATGAATGAATCATTCAGACTGGTTTATCAACGGGTTTCTCCAATTCAATGAAATGAAATGACTTATTTATGAAGATTTATATGACTACAGCTTATATTTCGATCGATTCCTCACAGAGAGCTGTTCTGATGCTTCGGAAATTTGAATATACACCAGGGTAGGAAAAGCTAAACTAAGCGAAATATCTTTAATAAAAACCTGGTCCAGAGCACTCAGGACCCCAGACTGGGCCAAAGGTTCACGTTTCAACAGTACAATGAACCAAAGTACAACTAAACCAATTCAAGGGTGGCTTAGGGTTGACTCTGTGAATAAACATTGAGTGGCCCAGAGTCCAGACTTGAACCCAAAATCCCTAAATCCAGATGTGCAAAGCTTGTTGCATTATACCCAAAAAGTTGGCTATAATTAAATGTTTCAACTAAGTGAGTAAAGGATCTGAATACTTGTCAATATGATATTACCATTTATTTTTAATACATTTGTATTTAAAAAATCTGGTTTTATATCTGGTTTTTATATTATAAATCTGGTTTTGCTTTGTCCCAAGGTATGATGAAGTGTAGACTGATGTGAAAAATAAATAAATAAAGCATTTTAGCATAAGACTGCAACATAACAAAAGGGCACACTGCGCTTAACCCCAGGTTATCATCGTTCTTACCACTGCTTTTTACCCAGGGTTATATGAATCCCTGTTTTGGAGCAAGGTGCCTGAGGTGACTGTGGCAAGGAATATAAACTCCATTACCAACACCATTATTAAAGGAAAGCACTTGGAGTTGCTTTCAGTTTAGCTAAGTGCTTCAATTTACCAGAGTTTTATCACTGTTCAACTTTAATATAATTATTTAAATATGATGATTTTGTAAGAATCACAGAAATTCCCTTGGAGGAGTATTTATCCTCCCTACACATGATATTCCTCTCTTTCAGTAGAGTCTACACATTAACCACAATGGCCAAGTTATTTTGGAAGTGGATTTGAAAGTGAGTAATGTAAGCTTAAAGACACTGTTCACCGAACTGCATTTCCCTCCTTGTCAAGATGAGTTAAAAGTATCCCTGGGTTGAGGAGCCTGGAGGTAGCTTTGTCAATGGAAATGGTTCTTTGCACTGTGTTGCCTTAATAATCGGACACACCTGGCTGAAACCTTTCCACCACACTGTTAGGTGTGCATGCTTACAACATTTACCAAGCCCTGTGCAAGTACTTCACCTCTCATCTTTGTTGTGATCACAGTCCTTGGCCCATGCAGGTTAAAACCCTGTGTATTCACTTATATACCCCTACCAACTAAAGTAAATGTTTTTCTGCCACCCTAACACGCTTTGCATCTCATCTTTTGTAACCTGAGATCAGTGGTGGAAAGAGTACTGAAAATTTGTACTTAAGTACAAGTACTGTTACATTGCTGAAATAATACTCAATTACAAGTAAAAGTACTGGTGTCAAAACAGTACTTAAGTAAAAGTACAAAGTACTCCCCTCAAAAACTACTCAGAGTACTAGTTACTAGTTACTTTTTAGTCTGCGATATTTAATGAATTACCAAAAAATATTCATTCATATCAAAGATCTATGTGGATAATAGCTACTTTGAACAAAACCCACTTTTATCTTATTGACAAAGTATGTGAATTAGTGGGAAAACGGGAATTTCTAACTTCAATACCTTGAAAAATATCAATAGTAAAATACCCGTGAACCGGAAGTTGCAACTGACTTCAGTGTTGTGACGTATTTCCAAGTGAAATGGAATATTGAATAAAGGGTGGGGTTTTATTGTGGTGCACCTCCACTCCACCTCTTGCTCATAGCAGATTCACGGTTGGATAGGAGTGGTTAAGAATATCTGGTTGTTACATCTGACATCACACTTCACCACTTCTGGGTCCTAACGCTCTGCCAGACGCCCCCCAAAAAACAACAAACTGTGCATATACACATTCACGATGTCATGTAATACTGAAAAATTATAACCCTAACCTTTATCTCCATACTGAAATCCCAGATTCAGCTAAAATATTAGTGTCTAAGACACTGTGAGCATGGAGACTGTAGTGTGCACAGCTAATTTTTAAATGCTTATCTTAAATATGTAATATTAATTAAATAATGCTCATAAATGACTGTTGAGATAGTATTCTCAAGTGAAATAAGTAGAGGCATGCACCCGGTATCAGCAGTCCTTACGTTATTGACTTAACAAGAGGATTCTCCCCAAGCCATCAAACTGACGTCATCAGAGCAAGAACGAAACGGAGCTTCGGAAAATTGGCTTCCAGAGCGGAAGCCAATTTTCAGTTTTTGATTAAAGATTACGACGGCAGACATTTTTTCCCCCAGTGTATTGACTTGCACAGTTCAATTGTTCACCACAAGACTAGTAATGTGCACTAAAAAGTAAGTAGGGTTATTTTTGATTTCATGACGACTAATCATTTTCAATACCATTGGCAAAACTACCACATACTGTATACTGCCATATAAATATTTTAATATTTTTTGTCCATCTATTTTTTTCAAGGCAATCATTATTTCAAGCTTTGAAATTGGTTTAATCCAAGTCTTCTAAAACTGTACAATGTAGTGATGCAGTTAGAAAGACTAGGATATTTATATGTACAAATCAGACAAATATCCCATTCCAAAACATTTCTAGCATAAACTTACATTGTAAAGAAATTAAAGTTCCACCTTTGATTGTTGAAAGACTTTCTGGTGCATTTCACTTACAGCCAATAAAATTTCCAGTAGGATTTTCATCGGTCAGGCATGGATCTATTCTGAATGGTTGATAATTTTTGACAAAGTTTAATCCAGGAGCAAAGAGAAATAATTTCTACTTTAAAAGCACGGAGAGATCGCGATTGCCACAGTCTGAGTGCGCACAAACAATATCGGAGTGAGAGGACAGGCAGTTCATTAGTATAAGTTAGGCCTATGTGAGACCTCGCATCCAGCTTTTCCCAGTTCAGATGTCAGGGCTGTTATTGGTCCGTTTACGATCAGATATCTTTATTGGCTACTGAAGTGCCGTCAAAGGTTTGAATATCAATTCAAATTGTGGGTGTACTCAGTAACAAACTATGATTTAAAAGTAACAAAGTAGATTATTTTGCTTAATTTGTACTTAAGTACAAGCAAAAGTACAGCTTTAAAAATATACTCAAAAAAGTACAAGTACCCGAAAAAACTACTTAATTACAGTAACGTGAGTAGTTGTAATTCGTTACCTCCACCACTGCCTGAGATACAAAAAAATCAAGTCTCATTCAATTTTTTTTCCTGTTTGAGAATCGAGATACGGATTCACTTGAGCACAGCTCAAACATACCTCCCTGTAATTTTCAAGTACTTCATTAGCTGGTTCAGGCGTGTTTTATTTGGTCGTTTGTGGTACAATAGGTGCACACAGATCAAACGAAACATCACTGGCCCAGTATTTTTATGACGTCATGTTTTGCACCATTTCTGTGTGGCACACCACTTCTCTCTGGTTATGTGTTTTGTTGTATCTTGTGCAATTTCACCCCTCCTTCCTTCTCACTTTGTTCATGTTGGTTTCACTTTGCTCAGAATTTTGAGCAAATCGTCAATGTTTGTCAATGTTCCTGGAAGCTGCAGCTTTACAGAGATTCATCTCTCAATCTGATCAGAATCCTATCTGCGATATATTCATCTTCTGGGTCCCCTTACGAATGCCTCCATTGTCTCCCCTTCTCTGTGACTCCACTGATGAAAGTCTGCACATTCGTATATCAAATTCTCTCAAAGGAATGAAGTGCTCGTCAAATGTCTGAATCACTACTTCATAGTTTTCATCATTATCGAATGCAAATCATTTGAATATACTCTCTGCTTCCTTCACCATGGGATAGATGAACTGCACATTGCCAAACTTTTCGTGAACTTGAACTTGAGCATGGTCTTCACTCAACAATGACATATGCAAAATTAACCCAGTCCACCTGAACTATTATCCCTCTTCTGGCACTGTTATGAAACATAAGGACTTCCATGCATATCTGAACGTGAACACTTTACTGAATATGTCCACATATATAGATCACATACAGAATGACCAATTGGAAAGCTTGTTACAAAATCCATCTACTATTCATCACAGAGTCTCCTGTTAAATTCTGCGGCAGTAACAGCAACGACCGACAACAAGGTTATCGTCCCCTGAGCAAACTGTCCCTTCTGTTTAAAGACAGAAACTTATTAAAAATACTAAGAACCCCCTGTAGTTCCCTGACAAACCCATTTGGGGAACCCTGATTTACGTTATCATTTGGTGTCAAAGCAATATGGAGGCAATCCAAATACATTGGAGATCAACTCTCTATTTTGTGTGAATAAAAGCTTCAAAAGATCCACAAATGCAGTCACCTCTGTATTTTTTGCCACATGAATACATTATTGCATACATATATACCAATGCCCCTTGTGTATTAGTGGATTATACTGTAAGCTTTAAAATCCATGTAAGCTTCTTATTACACTTTGATTCTTGATTTTGTGAATTGCCCTGCGCATTCCTGGATTTACATGTGCATTTGTTACAGTGTCTGTGAACAAAAGATTAACAAAAATCCAGCTTCACTCCAGAAAATGCCAACTTTTCTGGGCACTCTTTTGTTATTGATATTTTTGTCACATTGGATTTACCATCTACACACACACATACTAGGGTGACTGCCTGATTATTGTTCTGTTGCAGATCAGCAGATGTAATGCAGGACACATGGTAGAGAAATAACCTGCTATTATTAGAGGTTCCTGCACTAGCTAGAACATGATG